CCTGGCTGGCTTCCCCTAGTGAGCAGGACTCGTGCCTTCAGTGGCTGGCTGCACCCAGGGCTCCCACAGCCCTCGAGGGTCTCCAGGGGTCCACCTGCCCACCCCACCAAAGCCTCTGCCCAGGGTCTCCCTAGGTGCCCCTAAGCCAGGGAGCAGAGACTCCAGCCTGCCCCTCCAGTGCTTCTCCCAGGTTAAGTAAACACTTTCTGAAGTTTCATGGGCCCCAAACATCAGCTCCCCCTACATCTGCCCTGCTGGGTCCACTGTGTCCTAGAAGAAAGGCCAAAGGAGAAGCCCAAGGCCCTGGGGGGGTGGGCGGTATGTGTCCAAGAAGAATGGGGGAATCAGCCCCAGCTCTCCATAGTGGTACCCCCAGGGAGAAGGGCTTCATCTTTCCCTTAACAACACAAACTATGTTTTCAGTGGGCGGGATCCCCCCCTACAACGAAATTGCAGACGAAAACCTCTGGCTGAGAGGTGAGCCAGAGCCAGGCAGCTCCTGGGAAAGTCCTAAGGTTTTTACTTTCTCCTCCTTTGTACAATCGATAGCACAGGAACTAACCTGGGCGTCTGCTTCGAGGGCAAAGGCCATGCAAGACTTTCTCTCCATTTTATCTGTGGCATAGTGAGTGCTTCACAAATACATGGTAAATTAAGTGCTTAATGGATGGGTGGATGGTTAGATGGATGTGTGGCTGGGTGGGTGGGTAGGTCGATGGATGGGTGGCTGGGTAGGTGGATGGGTGGATAGGTGGGCAGGTAGGTAGATGGGTAGATGGGTGGGTGGGTAGGTGGCTGGCTGGCTGGCTGGGGGGGTGGGTAGGTAGATGGGTAGGTAGACAGGTGTGCAAATGGGTGGGTGGGTAGACAGAGGAATGAATGAATGCACAAATACCTTTTCTCCCCAAGGAAGGACTCCCAATAACACTGGGGGATGGAGAGCTGAAAAGTAGCTATTTAGAAAAAGAACAATGAAACCAGGACAAGGACAGGATCCCAATACGACAAACCTTAATTCCCCACCCCACCCCCCAAAAAAGGGAAAAAAAATCTCGAAATGTCTAAAGCAGCCTGAGACTAATTAACCAGCTACCCCACAAGGATCCTTTCCACTCCTGAATCCCATGACCGTAAGCAGAAGACAACCAGCAAGGAGAGAGAAAGAAACCTGCCCCTCCAGGCCCTGGCCCTGCACACCCAGCCGGGGCAGCCCAGCACAGCCAGTCCCAACCCCCTTCCCCAAAGTCAGCTTCTACTTCACCCTCCACACAGGCTCACGAACTCTAGGCAGGTTCTGGTCAGCAGCAATGAGACCTGGCTCTAGACCTCAATCCTTTAACATCCCCTGGCCTCAACCACCCAGGAGATGAAGGGTCAATTCTGACCCTACAGAGTGTTGTGTCCAGTAGTGGAACAGACGCTGCCTCCCTGCCCACTGGAACTTTCATTGCTCCAGGGCCAGCAGCAGGGGTCAGGGGGCGGTCTCGTCTTCATGGTCTGACATCAGTGAGAACCACCAGGCCCATCTGGAACAGCCATGCTGTCCCAGCTGAGCTGCTGGAGGCCAAACAGTGAATCCGGGGCCGTGGGAAACCTCCGCAAACATCCCTGATGAGATGCACAGAACCTGCACCCTGTCTCTGTACCCAGAGGGACTGTGCACAAGGAATTCCTTGCCAGGCCCATCTCAGAGGATAACACCTGAATAAAGAACCAGCCATGCTCCCCGTCAGCAGCCTGCCAGCAGCTTGCCCTCCCCATGCAGTGGGGCACCCTGCGCAGCGCCCCACTTCAGCGGTGGGAGGGTCCCCATGTCTGGGTAGGTACCAAGGAAAGCAGGCCAGCCACCGGCACTGGGGCTCTGCTTGTGTTCTGTATCCCATCCCTGGACATCAGGACGGATGAGCCAAGCAAAACAGACTTGGGACAGTGGCCCCCCACGGGGAGAGCATGTACCAGCACCCTGAGCCTCCGCTGGCCCCTGGCCTGGAAGTACTAACCAAAGTTTATCTTGGTAAGAAACATGTGCAGGGCAGGAGGAGCTCAATGAGAAGGACGCTTAGCTGGATGGATGGGGAGGACGGGGCAGGAAGGGCAGGTCAGGCTCTGCCTGGAGCCCCACGTGGCTCCTATGTGGCTCCCACACAGCCAACAAGAGGTCAAAGGATCAATGAGAAGGGAGGCGAGCTTCCGGGGACATTCGCCTGGTGCTATGCACTCCACAAACACAATTCTACTTCCTGCTCAGCAGACCTTGGAGGGTGGTGTCCTTGCCACCATTTCGCAAGCAGGATTTGGAGAAACTGAGTCAGTCACTTGGGCACAGCTACCTGCTGGACTCGAACCCCTACAAGGGTCCACAGTCCATGTGCTCAGCTCTCTGGCTCTGTCTTTCCAAAAAATGTAAACTTATTTTATCAGTAAAATAATAGAGGAAAAAAATCAGAGGCCTGAGATCTCTGAGGCTCTAGTTCCATTCCAGCCAAACCTGGGGGGGTTGGGGGGGTGTGGGGGGGCAGTGACACAAGCTCAGCATTTCAGGAGCACCTACGGAGGGCAGGGCTCCTCACTACCTCCATGGCCAGGCAAACGGAGGTCAGAAGCACCGTGGCACCCGCCATGTCATCCAGCCAGGCTGCAGGGCCAGATTTTCAAGGAGTCCACCTGGAGCATCACAACATGGAGAGCAGAGGTGGGATGGGGGAGCTCTCTCCGAGCCCTGCTCTTCTGAAAGCCGAGACTGCTCCGAGCAGGGTATGAACCAAGCCCCCACATGCAGCTCAGCACCCAGGTCTGGGGCATCACAGCACCTCCATTCCCCATGCCCCCCGCCGTGGCTCCCGGTCCAAAGCCTGGGTACACTCCTGGGCTCCCTCAGCAGAGGCCACAGAGAGGCAGCGCCTGGCCAGCGACCGTCCCAGTGTGCCGTGGGCAACCAGAGGCCGGCTCCACACAGCCCCTCTGTCTGCAGCTGGGACATCCTCGGAGCCAAGCAGCTCCACTGGAACCTCTGATGAGCATGAGGGGCACCCCCTTGTGAGCTGCGTGGCCACGCAGTTTGGTGGGTCATATTCTGAGAGTTCGATCCAAGTTTATGTACATCTTACATTGCATTCAGCTGCAGCAAATCAAAACCAAAGTGGAGGGGTCCCTGGGTGGCGCAGCGGTTTAGCGCCTGCCTTTGGCCCAGGGCGCGATCCTGGAGACCCGGGATCGAATCCCACGTCGGGCTCCCGGTGCATGGAGCCTGCTTCTCCCTCTGCCTATGTCTCTGCCTCTCTCTCTCTGTGACTATCATAAATAAATAAAAATTTAAAAAAAAAAACCAAAGTGGAATTATAGACGGGATCATCTGCATCTTAACCGCCAGCCAAGAAACGAATTTGGCCAGTGTATCCTTTTTCTCCGTATGCTTAATTAGCCGTTCAATGCATGAGTACGTACATGCCTGTATGTTCCCGAGTGTGCACGTATGTGCATGAGGTAGGACATGTGCATGACTGCGGGTGTGCACGAGTGAAGAGTGCGTGCATGTGGGCACGTGGATGTTCCGGAGGCCCCTTCCCAGAGTTCAGATCCACTGGGTCCCCACCTGCCCAGGACACTGCTGTGCAGAAGGAGGAATGGGGAAAGGAGAGGAGATCCAGTCCACTGGAAAGCAGCCCTGCAGGAACTGAGAAGCCCACTTACAGGAAAGGACACCTGCATGGTGCTCCCGCCCAGCACATGTGCCCCTGGGCACTGGGAAGCACGGTGGCCTGCAGTCCCCACAGGGTCGCTGCAGCAGCAGGCACTTGGGTGAGCACTTTCGGGGGGGGGGAACAGAAACCCCGAAGTGGTGAACACATAGGGACGGGCCCCCGGATAGTCCCTGGATCTCCTTTCCAGTGAATTCAGAACTAGGGGATAGTGCCATCAGGCCAGGTGGCTCATGGGAAAGTCCTAGCTACGGTAATGTGACACCTCGCAGCACCTTAAGGAAGCTCTCCTCTTGGAACAGACTTCTCACCATTTGCCACAGCAAATACAAAATCCCCACACCCTCCCCACCACGTCTCATAAATCATGTATTCATAGAACATTTCCTCAAACACCCAGGCCCCGAAAATGGTCCTCAGATAAATTAAGCAGTAAATATCTTCTGCTGTTTCCCATCAGCAGGTAGGAACTGGCTCGTCGGGTCGTCCAGAAAGCGGCTGTTGGGCAGTGCCTATGCCAGCCACCTGGGGAGCTCTCTCAGCCTCAGAAAGCACACGGACACGGGGCACCACTAGGACCACGGGCAGCACAGAATGAGGTCCTCCTCAGCCTCCATCCATCAAAAGCTACCATGGTCCCCAGCCCAGCCATTTAGAAGGAGTGACCTGGGACCTGCCATGCTCTCAGATGGCACCTGACATGTCCGGTCGCCATGAAGGCGAGCTCAGCACAAAGCCAGCTCACCCAGGAGCTGAAACCCCTGCCAGCCTTCAGACCTTGTACCTGCCTGGCCTCAGGTACCTTGGCCTGCGCCAGCAGGGTTTCTACAGGACAGTCACCAGGTGACACGTCTGAGAACATGGGGAGACTTTGGAGTCGTTTGCCATGGGCCTAGGGGATCACCTCCAGGGAAGCTTGGGGTTCAGGTAACCACCCCGTCCTTGCCCAACACATGCTCAGAGTCAGAGACAGCTCTGCTTGCTTCAGGCCTAACCGCCATGGCTCCTCTCATGAGCCATGATAAATGTACCTGCATCATCTCAACCCAACCCTCAGGAGCTGGGCCCATCACCTGCCCCACTTCCCGTCATGAACTGGAGCTCTGTCCGAGTCCACACCCCGCTCTCCTCCACCCTCCTCGGTTCTCGATGCTTGACCACACCCTGGGTGTAGTGAGCCCACCCGAGGGTGGAAAGGCCCATGCGCTCTGGCACAAAGGGGCCGGGCCTGTCCCGTCTGGCCCCCTGCACTGGGTGGGCGCTTGGCCACTGCCACCAGACACAGGGGAAGAGACCACTCACCTTCCCAAAATCTCGGACGTCAAAGAGGTCAAAAGGGTCAAACAGCTCGCTGTTTCTTAGTCCAAATTTGTCGTGGCAGACTTTGAGGAAGGTGCGGATATTCTTCAGGCAGAGGAACTAGAAAGACAAGAGAAGGGCACTGAGCACAGAGGGTCTGTAAGAAGAGTGGCCGTAATGGTAGCTGATGCTGGATGCCGGAGCCGGCACAGACCGTGCAGCCCTGCCCAGGAAGCCTCCCTCACCTTCGCAGTCCCACTGGGCCGGACGTCACGGACGCCCCCGGCTCACCTTGGCCACTACCCATGACCCTTTGTCCCTCACCCCTGCCCAGAGGACCCTGCGTGGACGATCGTGACTGGAAACACACTGGTCTTGAGTCAGCAAAAACAGAGCATGAACACATACACACACTCACGCACACACACACCCACCACCTTCCTGGGCACAGACCTGCCCTGGTTATTTAACCGAGAGCCAGGAGCCACCCCCATGGAAGCCATCTGCTGTGGAGCCCAGTCACGGCGGGAGGCCAGAGGACCCACAGGGGCCAGAGTTCCCAGAGCATCATCAGGGCACCTCCTCTACCCAGTACCCTGACATCTGAGCTCCCTCACTCACTGTGCTTGGCAAAGCAACTGGGGCAGGAAGTTTAGGGTTGGAGGCTGAACAGAATCGTGGGCTGCAGTCCCCATGAAGGAGATGCTGGTAAAGACGCACGGGGGTGGCAGGCCAGGTGGCCCGAAGAGCAGGATTTGGAGTGGCTCCAGCCCCAAGTTCTAGTCCTGTCCACTGATTCCCACTTGCAGGACCAGGGACAGTTGGCTTGGGTGCCTGGGTGGGTACCCAGATGGCACAGTGAGCGCTGGGGGTGCCAGTTGTGTGCCCACCCAGTGCAGTTGGCAAGGGCATCCCCGGGGCAAGGCCAGCAGCATGCACGGCCGACAGGTCTCTGAACCTCAGAGTGGTCATCCTCATCACTAACCATTTCCTGAGGCCGAGGGCTCGACAGAGCGAGACCTGCACAGTGTGTGCTGCTGCTGGAAATGCAGGTGCAGGGACAGATGGGAGACAAGGACAAGCCAGGATCGGCAGCTACAGCCGGCCCAGCAGGAACCGAGCAGCATCACCCCTGCCTGGACCAAAGGCAGTGTCCACCGCGCACCCCAGAGCTGGGCTGGTCAGTGGTCACAGCCCATGCAAACTCCCTGGCTTTGTGTGCATACAGTGTTTCTGAATGTGCGAGAGCAAACCACAGACACAGCCCCTGTACCCCCAAATCCCCGAACAACTGAGTGCTTGTAAGAACGAGGACACCCCCTCCCACAGTCAGAGCACCAACACCAGCAGGTCAATGCAGATCCCACACATCCTCGTACTTACTCACATTTCTTCAATAGGTAAATGACAACCATGATGCCCTAACAGCAAAAAACATCCCGGCCTCAGGTCCCATGATGTCAGTGGCCATAACCCTTTCGTGTCCTCGAGCCCACGACAGTATGCTCCCACAGAACATTCTGGAAGGACAGCTGCATTCTGTGCACATGCTGTTCACATGGTAGCCCCAAGACACACGTGCCCACTGAGCACTCAAAATGAGGCCAGTTGGACCGAAACACTACATTTCTTTAACGTGTTCTAATTAATTTAAATTGAATTGCTACAGCAGCTGGTCTGGGCCAAAAATGCGTCTCAGTCTTGTCTTGTCGGATCTGATGCTTCTGAAGCACAGGGACACAAAAGGAGACACGGGATGAATCCACTTACACAAGGCACCCTAATAGCTAAACTCACAGAGGCCGGCAGAACCACGGAGCCGGTGGGGGTGGCTGGGGAGCCCGTGTCACCCAGGGACGGCTTCAGTTTGGGACAATGACCAAGTTCTAGAAGTGACAGGAGATCGTGACCAAACGCCATGAATGCTCCTAATACTACTGAATTGTACGCATATTAAAAATGCTTAAAATTGGGGATCCCTGGGTGGCTCAGTGGTTTAGCGCCTGCCTTTGGCCCGGCGTGTGAGCCTGGGCTCCCAGCATGGAGCCTGCTTCTCCCTCCTCCTGTGTCTCTCTCTCTGTCTATCATAAATAAATCTTTAAAAAAAAAAATGCCTAAAATTGGGATGCCTGAGTGGTTCAATGGTTGAAAGTCTGCCTTCGGCCCAAAGTGTGATCCCGAGGTCCCAGGATTGAGTCTCACGTTGGGCTCCCTGCATGGAGCCTGCCTCTCCCTCTGCCTCTCTCTCTCTCTCTCTCTCTCTCTCTCATGTGTCTCTCATGAATAAATAAATAACATCTTTTTAAAAAATGATTAAAATAGTAAACCTGGGGGGCCCCTGGGGGGCTCAGTTGGTTAAGCATTCTACTCTTGGTTTTGATTCAGGTCACGATCTCGGGGTTGTGAGATCAAGCCCCACGTCAGGCTCCGGGCTCACCAGGGTGTCGGCTTGGGATTCTCTCTCTCCCTCTCCCCCTCTCCCAACCCTGTGATAAAACAAAAGTTTAACTAAAAAAAAAGAGAGAGAAACAGACCCAACAAGAAGGCCACGTGCTGATACAGGTAGAATCTGGGGGCACTCCCACCCCGAGGATGGCCAGCGATGGCCAGCAAAGCACTGGAAGGGGGAAGGGGCCCCGAGAAAGACAGCCAGGCTCACACCTCGACCTGCCTTCCAGCCCCAGAGCGTGAGGATACGCCTCCATGGCTCTGAATCCCCCCAGACTGTGGGCACCAGCAGGCCTCCCCAGCTGCACCCCCAGGTCCCGCCCGCCCTGCAGCCTCGGCCTGGCCCTGCTGCTGTCCAAGCATCACCCGGCTCCAATTTCCACTAAGCACCCACATTGTGTCCTCCTCGGCCTCCCATTTTTAGAGTTAATTACATGGCTCCTAACCATAATCGCAGCCGGGGAGGCCAGGCTTCCTTTCGGGGCTCAGAACAGGCGGGCGCCCTTTGCCCTGCAGGCACGCTGTCTGCCTGCCTGGCCCTCCCCCCAGCGATGGCATCAGCCCCAACCTTCCTGGACTGAACCCCGCACAGCTCCAGGCCGCACAGCTCCAGGCCAACAAAAGGCTGGCCCCAGGAAACTGAGGCACAGACAGCTCAGACCCAAGGAGGGGGCGCAGCAGAACCAGGCCCCACTCGGAGGTGGAGGCAGAGGCATCCTCATGGAGAGCTTCCTCCATGCCCAGCCAGCTCTGCTGCTCTGCCGTGGAGCCTTTACTCCCCAACCTCCAAACATTCACCCCATTTCTCAGGAGAGGAAACAAGGCTCCCAAGCAGAAGGAGGTGGAGCCCAGATTGGAACCCACATCTGCCTGCCGTGAAGCAGTGAAAGGCCTCGGAGAGGACGGGTGTCCCTGAGTCCTGGGGCCTCCGACTATCCAGTGTGCTTCACACAAGCATCCCTCTCATCGCTGGCATGCCTGGAATGAGGGGACACACGGTCACCCCCCGCTCCATCATCCTACAGTTAGGGGACTGGCCAGACACAGAGAGGAGCAGAGCAAGGAAGGGCCAGCCCTGCATCCAGGCTCCTGGCCCCCAACCCTTTCCACTCAGCAGAGGTGGCAGGCCTGCTGCTTCTGCGGCTCGCGTGCACTCGCCTGGCCGTTGGCCTCTCCATCCCCACTGCCCCTGGGCCAGGAGGGCAGGGGGATGAGGCCTGGCCCATCAGAGGCTCACAATCCCTTGCTCACAGCAGGGACAGCTTCAGACTCTGGCAAAGAAACTCCCAAGGGCAGGATGGGGAGAAGACACTACAGGCACATCCTGGCCACAGGATGAGCGATGGCAGGAGAGGGAGGCACAGACGGTGGCCAGCGCAGGCCAGAAGCTGACCATCCTTGTCCTGTGGCCACAGAAGGCCTGGCCGAGGGCTGTGTCCCTGTGGCCTCGGGGGTGAGGGGCTGTCTTCCCTTTGCTCAGCCCACCAGGCCCTTAATGAAGCGGCAGCCATAGCCTCACATTCGGCCCCGGAAGTCCAGCTAAATGACCACGACAAGGGTCTGTCCCAGGAAAACTGGCCTCCTGACAAGCGACAAGCGGCCCAGAGTGGTTGCCCCCACCCCACCACGGTCTGTTTAAGGCACCACCCCGCCCCCAGCCCCAGCCCCAGCCCGCAGGGAGGGCCCTGGCCATTGCGCCAAGGGTGGGCTGCCCGTGCAGTGGACTCCTGACCCCTCTGTCCCACCCCCTCATCAGGCTGAAATCAGATTAGTGAGGACACAGAAGCTCTGTGCCCAGCCGCCTCCACCAGCCTCACAGGGCCTGCTGTCCTCTGTCAGCTGTCATTCGGCCCTCAAAAGGCCAGCCCAGTGCGGGGATCCTGGATGTGAGAGGCAAGGCCGGCCCTGGGAGCCATGACCCCACGTCTGAGCCACGAGGCCCTGGGGCATCCCGGGCAGCAGGCTTCCTGGGTCCACTCCGGCCGCTTCTCTTACGATCGGAGACATTGTCTGCCCCACAGGGAGACATGGAGTGACCTGGAGGACCTGGCCACGGGGTAGGGCAGCCCTCAGACCTACCCGTCGCCTCTCCCATGACCCCTGGTGGGTGGGCTGGGGTGGGGAATCGGACACCCTGCCCCCAAAACTCACATCCACCCGGCATCCAACACGTATGCCCAGTACTGGGGACTTTGATTTGTCCCCACGTTCCCTCAGGGGCTGCTCCCAGACTTCAGCACCAAGAGGCAGGTGCAAGAGGGGAAACTGAGGCCCACGAGGGGAAGCCACCTGGTTAGCAGGCTTCTGCTGGGGATGTGCAGTCGGAGCAAAGAGTCCACGGAGGGAGGGAAGGAGGTAACAGGGGGCTGGGTGCTGACTGTGTGGCGGGCAGCATGCCGATGTCCTCCAGTGCACAGACCCACCCAACACCTGCAGTGACCCTATGAGGTGTGCAACGTGATGACCCCATTCCACAGACAAAGTGAGGCTTGGAGAACTGGTGAGGATGAGGGGAGCTCTCAGGGGGGCCCTCTCCACCTGTCACAGGGCCTGCCCCAGGGGAAGTCCCATGGCCACCCTGCTAGCTGGGACAGGGGCCTGCTGCTCCCGGCAGTGATACCCAGCCAAGCTGGGGCCCCACAGGGAAAGCCCCAGGTGGACTCCCTGGATCC